ATGAGCACAAAAGAGTTTGGGATCCTATTTTTGTGACATGTTTTGGGGGTTTGTTTTGGTGCACGGTGACATGCGGCCCTCTGAGTTGCACAGCAGGCAGGTGACCCTGACGAAATGTATTAGTTCTTCACTACAGGCAAAATTAGTGGACAGAACTTATGAGAACTATATACTGACTGTACACAGGCATGGAAAACAGTAACACCGTAGCTTTAAGGGTGAGACATGCTCAGGTGGTGTACATCAACTTACAGTAGTGTGAGTGCACTCTCTGTCCTGCTCTGTAGGTGCGGTCTGAGCAAAAATTGTACTGAGGTACAGTACAGTATACAACAACAACAACAAACAACACATTTATCTGCTATTAATGGAAAAAATTCTGACATGTTTACCATTTTAAAAGGTCTTCCTTTGTGTTCCCTCACAGCTATATAGTCCTCCCACCAAGAGATGCTGCAGGCCCCCCACCACCTCCTGCCTGCCAGAGTAGGAAGTGCTAATGTCAGAAATGATTAGGACAGCGGGAGTCGTTACAGTGACTCTCCTGCCAGGGCTGTTGAAGATAACAGAGGTCTCAGGAGAGTCAGCAGCACAGACAGCTACCCTCTCTAGTGTCTCCTTTTAACCTCTCCATTTAATGTACACCCTTAAAAGCCTCTTCAGCACTCACTCAAACTGCTTTTGTTTATAGATTTTCTTCATTTTATGAATGGCACTATAGAGCTCCGCAGTGGGCTCGTAGAAACAGCATTTCTCAAAGCGACAGGCTGCAAAGAATTTTGTATGTATTACATAATATTTATCATTGTCTGCTGTACATTGCACACCTATCCCAGCTGTGATAAGACGAGAGCAGAGCACACCCTGTCACAGGGCTAGCATGTTGGGAAATAAGCTATTATTATTATTATTATTATTATTATTATTATTATTATTATTATTATAAGAAGATAAGATAAAACTTTATTAATCCCTCGGGTGGGTTCCTCTGGGAAATTCGGCATTTCGGTATTCGGTTATTATTGTAGTAGTAGTATAGTAATTGCAAGAGCTTTAACAAGTGAAGTAGACACGACAGTCATCTCTCTTTTCCCTTGTGGACATGTTGAGGTGTGGTTATTTCCACATATAGGGCAATGCTCTCAACTGATTACCAAAGTTTGCCCATTTGTGATTTTAAGGCTGTAAAAAGCAACAAAAATCAATCATGGTCAAGGATTTTCAGCCACGCTGACCTCAGCTAAGAAAGGCCATTTGTTAGTTTTTGTTGGTTTCTGTTAAGGTTACTAAAATGTGTAAGAAAAGACCAGTGCAGCTTCTAACAACTGAGCACAATCAATAGAAAGCAAAGATTATCTTTGCACTAAGTGACACAGTGTCAGTTACAATAACAGGTGACGCGATGGCTGAAGGTCACAGGTTTTCTTCTTCTAACAAGATGCCTCAGTCTCAGTCTCCTGACTAACAGACAGAGTGTAATATATATTAATGCAGTAATGAATATAAAATTAAATATTAAATTTTAATGATAATGAATATTTTAAATAACTAACCTTTGTAATAAG